GCTGTTATATAATACATCCAAAGAAATCCAGGATAGATTGACGGGATATATTGTTGGGTGTTACAGTGTCCCTAAGGGCTTAAATTGGGCTTAAATTGCAGGAAGACAGATTTCTGTTGAACATCAAGGAGAAAGCTGGCTGCAAATAATCAGAGGAGTCAGAAAAAGGAATGAATTGCTTAAGTCCTTTAAGCAACTCCAGGCTCTCGCTACTGGAGGGATTGGGGCCGAGACTGGCAGCCATCTGGCAGAGATGATCGAAATGGATTCTTGTCCTTAGCAAGCGATTGCACTCAGTGGTTTAATGGCCCCCTTGAACGCTGCGAGTTTAGGACTCTAGAGATGCTCAAGGATTTTATTTGGTCCACATTTTTATGGGAACGGGATGGATTTGCATTTCCAGACTAATACACAAATCAGAACACAACTCTCCTTTTTTATTTTAATTGCACTTCTCAAGTTTAAGCAAGGTACTAAAATGCATACAGAAGGCCTATTTTATCATAAAATGGCTTTGCGGTGCAAAAAATATTTGCACTTAAACGTGCATTTTCATCTTTAAAGTGAATCACTTACAGATTGATGCTGAACTAGAATGGAATGGACTTTTGAATGAGCACATGTGAAACTGATACAGACCCTAAATCGATTCATGTGTTCCTCCCTACTTGGACTTACCCTTTCATTCACGTCCAAAAGCCATGGTTGCAATCATCCATGCTTGCTGTTTTTCTGCAGCTACACAAGCCTCCCTTGGCCTAATCTCCCGTACAATGTCCATCTCGCCCTTCAGGGAGTCTGCTTCTACAATAAACCCCCATTTATCATCCTTTCCAGCCCTCAGAGAACTCCCCGCTGTAAGTGGAAACAGCAATGCTTTATGGTATGGCCTTGTAGGCCATGAGGTGCAAACAGAGAGTGAGATGCCTACAAGAAATGTTTCTGGCAGTTTGGCTTGAATGACTAGCGTTTGCAGTATCATCCCCGCACTCCTATTTCTAGTATTCGCTTGAATCGAATGCAGAAAACCACAGGCTTCCACAGTGGTTAACCATGAGTAAAGGCAATACTACTTGAGTGACTCAGATCTCTCAAGAGGGTGGCCTTTTGAATGTAGTCTTTCCATTGGCTTTCAGTTCACTTTGACTGACTCACCATTCATGAAGTCATTGGCGAGCAAGAGAATGGATGTGACTTTTGCACATAGCCTACCTGGGGGACGGGGCAGTGACAGATCATGAGGCCAAGAACAGTGGTGGGAGGACATGCTTGGCATGACGAAGTTCCCAGTTTCAGTCCCAGGCATTTCCATGAAAATCCAGAAAAGCAAACCCAAACACTGTCCGTGTCTACAGAACTGCTGTTTCTGTATTTGACAGCTGGCTCATACTTAATTTTAACCAGCAGTTCTCTGGAAAGAAATTCAAGTCCTACCTACATCACGCACTGTCAGCCAAAACTCTCATTTCACATACCTTTCCTCCAAAGGAACGAAGCATGTCTTGGACCTATTATTCTGCTCAGGGCATAGTTAAACATCACCACACTAGTGCCATCAGGTAATTTCAGCCACAAGAATTCAAGTCATGGTTTGAAAGGTAACCTGCATGACTTCACTCACTTTCGACTACCCAGAGGACTTTCTCGACGGTTGTCCTTAAAATGTGGAATTGGCTGCCAAGAGAGATGTTAATCCCAGACTGCTATTTTCAAGAGGGAGTTAAAGATGTATCTTTTCCAAAAGGTCTTCCCAGATTCCTTTGATGCTTGTTTTAAGTGTACATTTGAATTATTGTTGGTTTTAATCTCTTATAAACTACCCAGACCGTATGGGAATGGTGTAGTACATAAAAGTCTAAATAAATGAAATGTTAAAGCAGCCCGTGTGTATCTGCAGCCCTTCCTGCTAATTCTGCTGAGCAGGTCCACCGCGATCACCCCCAAAGTTCTACCCTGATGGCACCACTGATGATAACGGATTTGAAAGCAAATGCTTATGTGTCTTTTTCTTTGCTGAACGTCTTTCCAGCCAGAGAGCTGAAGTCCACTTTGGAGAAGCTTTTGGAGGTTTCATTCCTGTGGCTGTTGGACTAATAATTCATTTCACAAGTGAAGTCATTTCCTGAGTGTTCAGCAATTATTCTCTGCCTGACAGTTGAAAGTGTAATTTTTATTATTTTCCAAAGATGAGTCAAGTACTGGTTATCACAAAGAAAAGTGACCTATGGAATGCACTCCCCAGAGAGGTCCGCTATTTGTTTTTTGGCACCAGGCCAAGACCTTTTTATTTAAAACTTATTTTAACTGTTAATTTATTATGGTATTTATAGGATTTTACATTTTTAAGCTGAGATGCTACCGGGCTTTTTAATCTCTAATTGTATTAATTGTTATTTATATGTTTTAATTATGCTGTGAGCCACCCCGAGGCTTTGTTGCGATGGGAGCGGCATAGAAATGTTTTAAATAAATAAATAAATAAATAAATAAATAAATAAATATTTTGGGCTTCTTTTCACAAGGCCCATCACCTGGTACTTTACCAAGTTTTCTTGCTCCGTTTTCTTTGTGGGAGGTTTAGCGCATCCATTAGAGTATGATTTTTGTGGGGGGTTTTCTTCTCAGCCATTCTATATGTTCTTCTATATGTTCCATTACAAAACACAAAGTGGCCCAGGGCTATAGAACAGGATTGTGAAAATGCATGAGCTCTCTGTGGTGCGTAATGGTGCCACCTAGGAAAATACCATACTTTCCTCTCCCTAAGCAAACTTGCAAAAAGGGATGGATAACTCAGGAGATGCCCTGGAGGATGGAGACACCATAAAAGGCTTCACAAACATCTATGATCAAAGGACCATGACTGCACAACAGATTGCGGGTGGAGAAACTGTTTTCTTAAAGAGAATATTCCCTGCCACATCCCCATTCCAACCCTACTTGCTTCTTCTGCAATTACATTTCTGTGTGACAGAAGATCACAGTTTCAACACAGTGGAAACTGCACTGTATTCATTAACAGATGCCATTACAGTGCTTCCTCATAAATCCAGAATAGATCCCTTCCTAGAATCAGAGTTGGTAGAGATTTTGGAGGTCATCTGGCCCATTTTTTTCCTGTTCAATGCACACTTTACATTGCAGGGCAGTTCTACAGCATCCCTCTCTGGAGGCTGTCCTGCTTCTGCTTAAATACTTGCAGCAAAAACGAGCCCATTACCACCCGGTGCCATCTTTTCTACATTCAAACACCTTTTACTCTCGAGAAGTTTCTCCTAATGTTCAGGCAAAATCTGTTTCCCTGAAACTTCCACCCATGAGCTTCCAGCCTGGAACAACAGAGAATGAGCTCACTCCACCTTCTGCAGGAAAGAGCTTCAGAGTTTAAGCACCCAGCTTTTTCAGTCATTCCTCACAAGAATGATTAGAAGTGTTATAACTTCTGGGACTGTTTAGCTTAGGAAAAAGGTGTGTAAGAGGAGCCATGATATTGGGGTACAAAATTATGCCTGATATAGAGAGTGTGGACAGGGGGACATTTTTCTTCCTTTCCCATAATAGTAGAACCCAGTGGACTCAACCTATGAAACTGATTGGTGGGAGATTTGGGAGAGATAAAAGAAAAAGTGTTTTGCATAGCACATAGTTAAACTATAGAATTGGCTTTCACAAGAGGTTCCATTGGCCACCAATTGGGAGGGCTTTAAAAGAGGACAGATTCATGAAGGAAGAGGCTATGACACCAGATCAGATTCCCAGATTATGGTGGTTGATTTGCAGAACCACTGCTGATGAGCCAAAGGCATCATGTATAACCTGAAATGAAAGCGCCATGTGTATCATTTTCTTGTTGACCAAAAGCCTCTCTTTTCAGCCTTCTCCTTTGGCTTGACATGAAGGAAACTTTTCTTCTTGATCTCTATCTTCATCAGCCCTATCAGTCAAGTGTAGACCATCATTTGCATGTGTGAAGTAACAACTTCTTGATTAAAGGCACCGGCTTCCACCAGGAAGAATGACGAAAGCAAAAGACCCTCATGGATGCTGATGGATTCACTGTTGCAGGCTACGACATAACCGTACCATATCTGGTTTAATGTGTTTAAACTCTCAGCATCATTTCACTGTGTGTATTTAAATCCCCCCACTTTCTGCCAATATACTCCTAAGATTTATAATATAAACAGCACTTTACAACAGCCTGCCCCAGGCTGGCTTTAAAATGTAGTACTAATAATCAGGAAGGGAAAAAATGGGAAAGACGGGAAGTGGAAAACACACAAGGAGAGCTACGACTCAGTACAAATGGAGGTTGAATTGATTTGGGTTTCATTTCAGTACCAGCTGATCAAATGTGCACTTCCCAAATGAATACATGTATCCTTTGGTCTTCACATTTCTTTGCATGATGTGATGCAGTTTGCTGTTTAAAAAAGCATGCAAAATACGTATTTTTTGGAAAAATGCATAAAGCAGATATAAATGAAAGGAAATGGCTCTCAAGAAATGAGTGGTCCATTAGGAGAAAATGCCTATGGTAGAAGAAATGCATACAAAAATGGGGTTGACTTTTCAAATGGACATTTTGCTTCCTGATTTTGCACACTGATGTGGAAACAGAACAGCACAAAAAATCCAAAAGGTGCGAAAGGTAAAACAGACATATACATCCACCCTTGCTCTTCAGTTACCCCTTATCGGTGTCACAGTGATTCTCAGTGACAAGATGTTCAACCTCTTCTATGAAAGTCTGCTCATTTATGCCTCCATGCACCATGTTGCATTTGTAAGAGTGGGGACAACTCCTGGCATGGTGATGTCTGTGCCCAAACAGCTAAGAGCTGCAGGCCGAACCCAATACTGATAGTACAAGAGGGGGGAAAGGCTCTCCCATACCTTCTTAGGAGCACAGCCAAGACCTCATTGCTGTGATCTCCCAGAAAGCTTTAGCTATTGGACTGTGTAGACATGTAACAGAGAAATCAATTCTTCCTTTTCAGGTACTTGTGGAACAAAGCAACCTGGGAGCTGAGTGGTACATTTGTGGTCAACCAGGCATAAGGTAACCAGGATCTCTGGAGGGTTCTTCCTCAGAGCTACCATCAAAGACAGGAGTGATTGGACACCTGCTGTGCACCCACTGGAACACTTTCTCCTCTTCTTCACTGCAATCTGCTTGGTCCTTGGACAACTGTGGTGGCCGCTGCTAAGTTGCTCACTCACTCTCTGCCTGTCCAGCGAGCAAGCAAGCCATATGACGAGGAGAGGGTGCTGGAGGAGCAGGAACAACTGAGGACAATGATGGTCAGAAGGTAGACTCCTTGAAGGAGGGGGGCTCCTGAGTGGGAATTGTCCAGAGCCCTCAGAACCTGGAACCAGCCTGATGATTTGCAGCAGATGATTCAGGGTTTCTGAGTCTGTTTTAACAGTTTTAACAACAGTGCCAGCAAATTTCTCCATCATCTCCATCTCCTCTTGCAAGGAATGCAAGATAGTTTACAAGCCTCTCTTCCCATTTAATCCTCTCAACAGCAGCCCTGTGAGGTAGGTCATACAGAGTCCATGACTGGTCCAAAGTCACCAAGTGAGCTTCATGGCCAAGGGGGGACCAGAACTCAGAATTCCTGGTTCCCACTTCATTACCTACACTGGTTCTCCAAGAACCTCCATCCCAACTTCTGAAATGAAGAAAGTCTGGGGGAACCAGGAGTAGATTTTTGTGTGGAAGGACCAAGGAAGGATAGTTTGAGCTCTCAAAGCAAATTTCTGGGCTCATCCATCTTCCACATTAAATAAACCTTTGTTATATCAGGTTATGATCGATGGGTCAGCTCAAAAACGAAGGAGATCCCTGCCAGCCTGAAGCCTGCCCAAACCCCAAGAAATCAAAGGCACTCAAACAATGTCATCTGACAAGTGAGCTACAGCCACCCATCCCCCCCCCCCCCCGCTTTCCTCTGGACAAATGTATTGATCGAATCGAGTGAGTCTGCACACAAGTTTTCCTGCAGTCTCCAGAATTCGAGGGCAACTTTGACTGGCTGACAGCAAGACCTGCATCAGTCAGAGGGCCCATAATCAGGCTGAATAATCTTCACACTTAAGAAACATCACACTACAGCCTCTTACTGGCAGACCTAACACTTCATCTTGCCAGTGTGACCTAATATTTCAGCAGTTGAAGAAATGAAAACAAGGCACAAGAAATAGGCCATCGCTAAGCAGCATCTAAGAGGTGCTCACGTTTCCAGTTAATATGGAGGAAAGGGAAGCCATTCTATCAAAAGCAGCTTTCCCCAAGCTTGTTTGCTGCACATGTACAAGATGGCAACCTCAGTCGTCCCCACCTGAAACTGAAGGACACTGGATTGGGCAACGGCTGAATTTGTGCTTATAGTTCAACGGCAGCTTATTCAGTCTGCCAAATGTTGCATGCTTCCTCTGGAGCCTGGATCTCATATTTTCCCAGAAATGACACATTTCTTTTGTCATTTTATTTTATTTTATTTTATTTTTTTTTACAAAAGTTTGCATTTGCAATTCTGTGGATTTGCACATTTCAGACACCTAAAATGTTAAACACGGGATGTTGAAGGTTAGGACACTCAGCAGTTTGTCCTTCTTTCCATTTCATATGCAGGTCTCTTCCCTCTTTCCCTCTCCAGAGATCTTAGAAGCACTGGTGTTTTTTAAAAAAACCCAAGTGGCTACAGAACAGTATAAATCCAGGTAGAATTCTCTTTGATATGTGGGAGAGGCATTTGCCCATGGAAAGAGCTGAATCCAAACTGAACCTTCTCCTTCTTCCCATAGGGGTGGCTGTTGCTGCTTGTGGGCTAGACGGCGGGACTACTGGACATTTCTTAACTGGTTGGCTTTCACACCCCTATGTAGAGATCGGGAATACATTGATGTGGGTGATCTTGGCCTTGGTATCCAGTGCAAAGCAACAGAATACCCCAGCTCCCTGTGCTGAAACACATTGCAATAACCCTTTCAAAAAATGACTAGGCTGAAATGTGGTGGTGAGTGTGATAAAGAAGCTGGAATTTCAGAGAAGCAATTTCTCAGTCGGCTCTGAAAAAACAACTACATGTCAAACTTGCAGACTGGCAGAATGAGTTAAAAATATACTCCTAAAATCAGCAACCTTAATACCTACTGCCACCATAATCTTATTTTGTTTTCTGTGGCTTTCTAAAAATATACACGTGGCCACTGCAAAGAAAGGGTAGTCAAATATTTTCAGAGAGAAGTGTGGCATTAGCTGTGGGTGGGGTGCTGCTGAGGTCCTTACCTTTCCCAACCAAGCAAATATAGCATCATGTTTCCATTGTCATTGACTGAAAGATGCAAGGAACAAGATGTGGACAGAATGAAATCATGGGGAACCCATGCACCAACCTGGCGCAAGGAGGGGCAGGGCAGAGTAAGGCTGTGTAATAAAAAGTTTCTGTTTGAAGTGAAGAAAGGAGGGGGAAACAAATGCAGAAGGAATCGGTAACTTGCAAGCAAAAAAGATTACATTAAAGGATGAAAGAATAAAGTTGAGGTCAGCCAAAGGACTTAAAGAGGCGAGTTGGCCTACCGAGGAGGAGAAGAAAGTCTGCAACAACGGAGGAAAGAAATTAACTCTCGTGATGAAAAATAGGTGGCGGGGAGAGAGGCCGGTCCTCCAGTAGAAGAGCACCGTCCTCTACTGGAAGGCTGTCTGGTTCAGAAGCAGTTCAATGATGAAGAACCGTCAGGAGGGAGAGAGTGAAGGCCCTTGTAGTTTTCCATCCCCAGTTAGTACCCACACAGCAGACTGAGTGGGGAGACTCATGGGCCACCTGGTCGTAGACACTCCCACCATGGCACCACAGTTCTTTGTAAGCAACAGCCATGCTCTCTAAATCTGTATCCAGAGATGTACATGAGCAGGCGGATGTCCCGCACCTGAGCCCCCGCTCTTTCGCTCTGTTTTTGGCCAAGGCATTTCCTCCTATTTGGTGATGTGCCAGGTGCCACCCTGAGTCTATGCAGTGCTGAAGGCCAAATCTTGACCCCTTGACTCCATTTCCAATTAGGGATGTGTTGACATGTCCAGTGAACTCAACCAATTCCATAGCCTTTTCACAACTCACAAGAAGAATGTGCCGAAGTGGGACTGAAGGCAGAGTTTTCAAGACTATGGCCACCCTGTTTCCAGCCAGTCCATCCTACCATGCCAGGGCATGTTTACTTGTTCAAAACCTTTTCATGCCTCTCCTTAGCCAAATGGGTCCCAGAGTATTTTAATAAGATGGTTTCTGGCCCCAAGCTCACAGTCTCTTTCCCTTTCTGCTGCACAGGAGCCTTTAGATGAATCTGGTACCTTCTCCCAACTCTAGGAGGTGCTTTACAGCAGATCAAAGGATTTGTTCATCTCCCCCTGATTTGTTTCTAGCTGGAAGCAGCTCCCAGTGGTCTCAGGCACAGCATCAGTCTCACAGCAACAGCCTGTGCTGGGTTTGCATATCACCTGCCAACTTGAAAGAACGTGGGGCCTTTCATATGAGCTTTGCCTCTTCGCTGCAGTTCTCCCTGAGGGTGCTCCAAGTCCTAGCAGCTGCTTCTCTATACACCTTCCCAATGGAATCCATGAAAAGTTGCCCCATATCACAGATGAAACTACCTGCAGGAAGCTGGATTTCCTTTCCCCTCTCTGAATAGAACTGTATAAGCTATTTGAATGAATTGTGTCTGGTTTTCTTTTTGCCTAAACTAAGAACATAAGAAAAGTCAGGCCGGATCTGACCAAAGGTCCATCTAGTCTAGCACTGTGCTCACATGGTGGCAAACCAGCTGCCCTCGGGATCCCTCCAGCAGGATGGGTGCAGGACCTCCTCCTGCCCAAGCTCCTCAGCAACTGGTGGATGCAGGCAGGCCGCCTCTGGCCGAGGGGGTAGCACACAGTCAGCAAGGCTAGTAGCCCCATGAACCTGCCCAATCCTCTTTTAAAGCTGTCCAGATTTATGGCCCTCACTATTTCCCATTTTAGTAAATTCATAGTATAAGCTGTGTGCAGAGGTCCTGTCCCACACCTCCCACCAATCAGCTTCATGGGAAGACTCCAGGTTGGAATGTTAATGGAGAGGGAGAAAAATGCTTCCCTCTCCACACTATGCATCATTTTGCACACCTCTTCCATGTCTCCCTTTCCTTGGCTTTTTTCTAAGCTAAATAGTTCCATTTGTCATAAGTCCGCTTTATGGGGGACTGGTTTCAGCCCCTTGACATTTTTCCCCTTCTCTGCATTTTCCCCAACCCAATAATGTTGTTTTTCAGGTAAGGTGACCAGAACTTAACACAATATTCTACATGCTGTCATACCAAACATTAATGGCACCAAAGAGTTGTATACGGTTGAAATGCACTAAAATAACTTGAACTGATATATTTGGTGAACATGAGCAGGAAAGAAATCTCAAGCTTGTCCCCTTTTTAGATGTGTTTGTTCCACTTTAAGCCCATTTAAGGGGATATTATTAACAATGAAAGTTCTTCTTTGGGGTTGTGGGTGGAAGCGTAATAATTCAGAGAGAAAAACACAACCTTTGAATGAAGTACGCATGTGTAATTGAGAAAGCTGCCAATCTAACCACCTGTTTTTCATTCTTATAATCATGAAAAAAGGAAACCATTAGCGTGGCTCATTTAAAAAAAACACACTGGGCCAGTTTTGGGTCTGTGAGAAAATGAAAAAGGAACATTTTGCCACACGTTTAACACAAGTGGTGTCATCCCATATGGTGGAGCTTCAGCATCAATGTGCACAAAGCTTTCATCATGGATCCAAGCTGACAGGTTCACCAGTTCCACATCACCCTGATAAAGGATCTGATGGGGATGGGTAGGAGAGAGGGCTTCTCAGTTATGCTTTAGCTCCATCCTCCTCCTCCTCTTCCTCTTCCTCATCTTCTCAATACCACCCAATAGTCAAAGCTCTTCTTTTTTTGTTCTTTTTAACTCTGTAATTCCCCGTGCTCAGTTTACGGCACTGCTAACTACTGTTTTAAATGAAACACAGTAGCCAGGGACTGTGATGAGTAAACACAAGCAAACCAGGTAACGAGTCCGCCTGTGATTAAATTTTATTTTTATCTCCATGCAGGCAAACTTCCTTGCACCGGTCTACAAAGTGAGACAAAGAGCTAAGATGATCCAGCCAAGTCATGTTTTGCTCACAAGGTCTGGGAACTCGATCCTTCCGCTCACCTCTCCATGAGTGCTCCAGAGGTGGATGCCTGCAATGGGGGGCAAGGTTTTCCTTTTTCTCTCTCACTGCAGCTGGGTGGTAAAAGTGCATCCCTTCTGAGTGGAACACAGGGGCGTTTGAGGGGGCTATAGCTCAGCCTTCCAGATGTTGCACTTTTTCCTGCCTTGAAGTAAGTGAAATTGGAATAGAACTGCCAACACGGCCATCACTTTATTTATTTAAAACATTTATATCCCGTCCTTTCCCACAAACAGCTCAGGGAACTGTTAAGCAAAGGGAAGAAAGCCAGGCCTGCAAGTGGGGGAGAACTGGGGATATACATAATCGATTCAGCTTCCAACAGAGACTAGTATTCATCTGCCGCATTTTGTGGGCAAACACGTTTTATCTGCCACTTATTCCGAATTGTCATAATGTTGGAGCCATTTGTGCTTGTTGTCATGTTCACAGTGGTGTAGTGGCAAATTTAGAAGTGTCTGTGTGGGGGTCCCTTCATGATAGAGCCACGCCCCTCAGAGCCACGCCCCTCAGAGCCACACCCACTCCCGTGATCATGCAACATCTGATTATACAATAAAAATGAGCTTTGTCACTTTGTTAGAATTTCTGCTGGGTAATGAAT